GTTTCACCCAAAATATGGTGTGCGCTGGAGGCATTTCAGGGACAAAGGGGGATAGGAGGAGGAGTGTGTCAAGGGGGATGAAACTGCTTGTGAAAGAAAGGCATAAATGTGTAGAATACAAAACCAGAAATTCCCCAACACAGGAGAGCGTTCTGGAGAAGTATTGCTGTATATTTACATGTGGTTTTTAGTCTCCTTTAAGTAAATTATAATGATCACTTTTTAAACAATATACTTCATAAATAATATACAGGTTTCTCAGAGCCTTTGGTTGACCCAGCACAGCCATTATTCTGTTACGCAATTTCTATTCACATACCAGCTAGATATTTTTTAATCATTTATTAGTGATTTCTAAACTAATTCCTTTTTTTCCAGTGTGCTGCTTCTCTTGCTAGAAATATACAGTAGCAAACATGAAACATCAAAATGAGATTGTTGACCAGCATTCAACATATTATCTTAGGAACCAAACAGTGCCTATTCTCAAACACAGTAGTATGTTTAGCTGGAAGATAACCTGGAGGTATTTGTATTTTACCATTATTGTGGGTTATCTTCTATCTTTCCGTGGTATACAATATATCATGGTTGGTTTTATTTGCATAATGCATTTCCAGTATTAAAAAGTTCCCAGATAACTGTTTTGTTTTTTTTTTTTACAGAATGAACTCCATCTTGATAGTTAAATGTTGTATTTTGTCACTTCTCTGTATTACCATCTGGGTCATTTCTCTCTTGTGAATTCCAAATTGACTTTTCCATGTACCCTTTCACAAAATGTGATGTGGCAACCCTGGCAGTCACATGTATGTAAAATACTTGGAGGGATAATTGAGCCTTAGACATTTTAACTTTGATTATATAGGTAAAATAAAAAAGTTGAGCAATTAGAATATTTGCATTGTGATTCTTCCTTTACCTTCCGCAAAACTCCATGTGCTCATATAAGACACAGGTAACATCACATCAGACTTCTACTGTTAAATGGGTGTTATTTATTTAGTATCTTACCAAAGAGTGCTTCTGTTTGCAATAACACACTCCAGCCTACTGCTGAGGTGTTCCTGTATACCACCCCATAGGTATTTATCTTGAATTATTTTGCCTTTGCTGATTTAAGAATTTTGTGTACTTCTGCAAGAAAATTTCTGTGTGATTCTGGGGTAACTCAGATTGCATTATACAAAGCACGTAGGGGTTTTTTTAAGAAAATGTTACAACCTTTGTAAGAAGTGGTTATTAACATGTCCTGACATTTAAAGACATTTTTTTAGAAGTTGGTTGTGTGTTGGAGTAAAAAAACATAATCCATTGTGAAATCAGTCATGGACCTAAGCACATTGAGAATATCCTTTTCAGGGGAAAAAAAAAAGTTTTCCCTCCTCTGCTAAAGTCATGTAAGGCCAAGACTATAAAGCTTAAAAGGAGAAAACATTACAACACTTCTAACACACCTAATTTTCTGGGTGAGTAGGAGGATGTTCTTAAACTTGCGTGTTAAAGAAAGTAGAACTTGAAAGATTAGGGACTATCTGGTTTTGTTTGCTTTTTTGTGGGATTGTTTGGGTTTTTTAATATGATAAATTTACAATTTTGGATGTTTATATGCAACTGGAACCTGAAAAGTCAACTTCTATCTTTGGCCCACGAAAAGATTATGAAAGTAATTCTTCTCTCAGGAAGACTATAGTTGCTTGCCAAGTATGTCTTATTCTTCATAGCATCTCAGGATATTTAGTGCTAAGGGAATCTTCTTGCACGTGGCTGCCTTCTCCCCGTTGCATTGGCACGCAGCTGCTTGTCTCTCTCCTCCTCTACACCAGCTGACCCCAGCAGATTTCACAGGAAACTGGTGATGATCTTCACTGGGAGAACTTCACCTCTTCCTGATTCAGGTCTCTTATTCACAGTCAGATCCGGATAATCTGAAGCTGGCAAGATGATCATTTACACAATGAATCAGTATGAAGTGAAAATGTAATTCCACATAATTCCAAAATTCTCCTGCCTTGATGTCCGTATCCAGCTTTTGGATGCTTGCAGGTTTAATGTTCTGTCCTTTCTCTTCACTTCAGATTTACCGTTGAACTGGTCATTGGGTTGGCTTAGCTTGTTTGCTTTGACTTTTGTTTTAGTAAAATCACCTTGATAAAGACAACAGGCATCTCAGTTATGTTATCAGATAAGATGGTGTGTTTGTAACAAGAGAAAGTAGCTCTGCTGCCAAATGCACCTTCTGCTTCTCGGAGTCACTGAAGAATATTTGTATTCTCTCTGATACTTCACAGGGACCTCATGGGAGGTCTGTGTGTTGCTCTTGTCGCATAGGGTGTTACAGGTGATCCAGCACTGAGAAGGCATTGATAGCTACTCAAGGAAATAATCGAGGTCTTCATTAAACTGAGGATGTTTACAGCTGATGGGAAGTGATTTTCATAGTCAAACTGAGTACATGAGAATACAGCCATGGTATGGCTGATCAGTGGTTCATCTGGAAAGCTGCAATCAAGTACCATGTTCATGATTTGTTCCCTGCACCTGTTTCTCACTGTGTGTAGATACATCTGATTGGTTTTGGGTGTTTTCATTGATGAAGGGGAGTGAGGACATGACGACAAGTATGCATCTTCTTTAAAAAGGACAAAAAACCCAAACCAAAACTCCCACCCCCACCCCCGCAGGAAAATCTAGTTGCATAATTGGGGAATAGTGAACAAATGAAGAGTCTTTCCACATATTGAAGTTATTTTGCTAATTATAATTTCAGTAAGAATAATACTGACACCATAATACAGATTTTAAAACCAGCTAACATATATGTGATTTTTATCTGCAAGCATAAGCTCATCCCAACTGATTCAAAGAGTTGAGTCCAAAGTGTGACAAATGTTTCCTAGTCATTATAGCCCGTGGACATAATGTTTTCCTTTGACCTGACTGAAGATGAGGGCATATTCAAGTTGGAATTGTAGAACCATCGACCAGCCCAGGCTGAAAGAGACCTGGAAAGATCATCTGTCCCAGCCTTCTGTGGGAAGGGGAGCGTAGGTGAGATTATCTAGCACCCTGTCCAGTCACATCTTGAAAACCTTCTGCAATGGGGACTGTACCACATCCCTGGGAAGGTTGTTTAAGTGATTGATTGTTCTCACTGTAAACTATTTCTTTCTTACATTGACATGAAGACTTTCCTGATGTAACTTGTACCCTTTGCCCCTTGTCTTCTTCACGTGGCTCCAAGTTATTTTGTAATTTCTGGTTGCTCCTTTTCTGTTTGGCAGAAAAGCACATGCGCCAGAATTGGCAAGTAGTTTTTACCATGCCAGTTGTATCCGTATTTGCACACCACATTGTATATGCCTGTTTTCTCTAAAGAAGGTTTAAAAAAAGTAACTGGAAGAGGTTTAAGTGTGCTTGCTTTCTATTCACTTGGACCACTGTTTTTGCACTACATTATGAATATTGAAAATTTAGCTTTATGAAACAAGTTGCTGTTAAGATGCAAACTGCTTCCCTACATTTACCTGGAGAACACACAAAAAAGAAGTGCTATGTCTCTCACATTGGTTTCTGAACAGGCGCCATGGTGAATCTTGTGCTCGGTATAATGTTTAGTTATTCTAAAGGTAAGGTACAATAACAGATTATTGTTGTTCATATCTGTGTAATAATTGAAACTCCCTGATCATACTTTCCATTTTACACATTGTCAGAACCTCGGACCTTAATCTCGCTCTTTGATTGACAGTCGCGGCCAGGGAAAGAGCACTTGTATTGTTTGTGATAGTCGCATCTGTTCAATTTGATTCAGTTGAGTGTATTTGCATATTCTTAAGTATTTCTTCTGAGAGGGCCTAAATCCTTCTCAAGTGTTTGATGCATTTTTGAAATTCATTCATAAGGTATCTACATGCACTAATAGTTCTGTATAATATTGCTGTGCATAATCTGACAGATAAGGCTAGTTTTTTAAACAAGGTATTCTTTGGGGATGACATATTACATTCTGACTTATTCTACTGGGCAGAAATGTCAAGTACTTTGGAAAAGGATGCTTGAATGTTTCGATTGAATTAGTATTCTTTATTCAACACAAATTGTCAACTGCAGTAAAATGTAGTCTTATTGTGAGAACATTTTTCAAAAGAGTTAACAGTAGGGCTTTTTATTTTATTTTTGTTACTGGAGCTTTATTGCATATAATCATTCCTTTGCTGCTGATATTAGATGGAACAAGTGAGTAGATTCTTAGATGCATTTTAGATTATTGTGAATTTTTAAACTGTGAGCAACACCTTTATCTTGAAATACAACTTAGACTTTCATCTTTCTCTTATCTTGCTTTCTTTTTCCCTTGCAAAATTTGTATCAATATTTTTGAAAGCATTGTCAACCTTAATTTCAGACACCTGTCACTGTTAATAGTATGTGTACAACACTAGTGAGTAGTACCATTGCTTTGAAAAATATTCAGGTGTAGTATTTGAGCACTGAATACAGATAGCAGTTCAACATATTAACTTGATGGCCTCATACCATTACGTACAGAAATGTATGCATAGTTGAAACCCGTGTCTTCTATCGGTTGAAAGTCCTAGTCCAGGACTATCCAAGTTTGGACAAAACTAGTCCAGGTTGCTATCAGAAGGAATGAAGATATATTCCCGCTTGCTTAAATGGATGTGTGCTGTGAATGCTACTACAAGCTCAAGCCTTTAAAATCCTAGGATCTCATATGGAGGACCACTGATCACAATGAATTACCGTTTGTTTTTTTCCATTGCACTAAGTAAATATTCAGAGAGCCACCAGTAGTGGCTGACCTAGTTTAAGAAATGGGTTTCTGTCTCTAGAAAGGACCATAGCAATCCCTGCTGCCTGTGTACTCAAAGAAAGAATGATACAGATTTAATAAGTATTTTTTTTTGTTTTATGCACGTGCAGGTTTTAGTGTAACAGCACCTGTTACTTTAGTTTTGTTTTTCCTTTGCTCTCAGGAATCTCCTTCTGGACGCAGAAAAGCACTTGCCACCAGCAGCATTAACATGAAGCAATATGCAAGCCCCATGCCTACACAGACAGATGTCAAGTTAAAATTCAAGCCTTTGTCTAAGAAAGTGGTATCTGCCACACTACAGTTCTCTTTATCCTGTATTTTCCTGAGGGAAGGAAAAGCCACGTAAGTCGTTTTGTTGTTGTTGGTTTTTTTTAACTAGATAGCCTGCTTTGTGTTGCTTTTCAAAGAATTCTTTGGATAAAGAGCTCTTTCTGTATAGAATGGCAGAATTTGAGACTATCCTTCAGCATACCTATCATTCCTGCCATACTTAGTTTCTTAGCTGGCTAAAAGTCGTTTCTTACTCTGATTTTAGTCTTGTGTTCTTCAAACAGTTTGTCCTCTACTGTTATAGACATTTTAAGTAACAGCAGCTAGAAAATATCTACAGGTTTTAAATCAGCAGGAGTGTGCATGTGTGTTCAGCCAACAATATCCCCAGCATACTGCAAGGGAAATGTGGGAAGGAGAACTTATTTCTATATCACCTGTTTGTATTTCACAAAGAATGAAAGAAGAACAAAGCCAGTTGTAAGGTGAGAGAGACTGGAGTCAGAAGTAAGATTTTTGGGTTGAACACAAGAACGTCCTGTGGAAAGAGTTCACTTGGGCACTGGGTACCACTCTCCCTGCTCACTTACCTGGTTCTCTCCCTTATTTCAACATTTGGAGCAGAGAGGATAGAAATTATTTTTGCAGATTCTGTAATCTCTCCTGCAATTTCTGTCAGATTCAAGATGTCAGACACTGACAACTTCATGTGGCTGGAGTATGGATCATTTGTTGCCCATCCTGTATTGCTTTTCTTTCTGTCTCTAGAACATGTGAATGTGAGAATGGCAGAACAAAAAGGGGTAGAGGGGGTAACTACTGCTCTAGTGGTTCTTCTACTTCTTTAAAATTTCTTTTTCCTCCCAAAAGGCTGAGTTTATTTCTAGATTTCAGTATTCTGAATGCACTTGTAGACAGTGCCCACTGCAATACAAGTGGCCCAGAACTGTTGCAGCTTTCCAGACTGCCATGTTAAGGCATACATTTTAACTCAAAGAAGCTTTTTGTCTGCATGCTTTGGAAGCCACAGATGCATTAATTACTATTAATTACTAATACTGTTTCCCTTCTTTGATTAACCTGTTGTGAACCACATTTTGACCTATCATATAAGAATGATCTTTTGAAGTATTTAGCTGTGGTTTAACATGGTATTGCAGCTGAAAATAGGAATTAAAAAGTTAGTGTCTGATAACATCTTAATTTTTTTGGAATGACCAGTATCCATGAACTACTCAATAAATAGCTATACTAGCCTCATAGTGCTTTTTGAGGCCATAAATTGTACAAGCTGGAGGATACAGGTTCAAATATTCTTCTCCTTGAAATCAATAGGTTTCAGACTGAAATAACAGGGCTTTAATATTGCCCTGAACCAGGGACCTGAAAAAAACCAAACCCTCCTGTTTGTGAAAGCATTGTTTTCGAGTATGTGTAAATAGAGACTGTCTTACTAGTCACAATAAAAGAGAGGATTCAGGTGTCAGAAACATGCAAGAAAAGGTAGCTGGGACAAGGCTTACTTACATCTCTTACAAACTGTTGTAGTTCCCTAAAGTGAGATTCACTTTTAATTTTGTTACACATTTTATAAAGAAAATACTGCAACCTGTTGCTGTGCATTACCAAAAATCATCTTATTTCTGAAACACAGGAAAAAATATTATCAAGTATGAATACAGAAAGGACAGTGAAAAGAAACAGTACTTTGGAGACCTTTTAATTTCTAAACTTTATGTGAACATGTGTTATATAAGATCCGCAAGCTAACTGCTCCCAGCTTTTTGTCTTCAAAGCCTGCCCACCGCTGCAGTTATAGGATGCAGTGTTTTTTTTCTCTTGTCCTTAAAGAGCTGATTTAGCCTATTGGTTTTCAAAGCAATAAGATGAAACCTTGAGGATTTTGCATGAATGGAAAGGTCTTTGTGACTTCCTGATAATAATAAATAAAAAGCAAGTAACTATTAATATTTTTTATAGAAGTACTTAGTTGTCCTATGTAACTGTGAGTTCTGCAGTGCTGATTACTTTGAAGTCACACAGTAGGAAATGAGTGCTCCAATGAGTTTCTGATTTTAAAAACATGTTAAATCATGGAGTTTAATCCCATGTTTTAAGTGCCTCTGTGCTTCTGTGCAGACTTAAGGCATGATTAGTCTGCCATTTTTATTCATATAAACGGTACCTTTAAGATAACTTAGAGTTTTCTTAGGTTTGTTAGGCACAAAATCTGTGCATCTGGGTTTTATTCAACATCAAAGAAGAAAGAATAATTAAGGTTGGAAAGGACCTGTAGAGGTATCTAGTCCAGCTTCCTGCTTAAAACACTCAGCTGTGTGATCAGACCAGTTTGCTCTGGGCTTTATCCCACTGGGCTTGAAAACCCCCAAGAATGGAGACTGCACAGCCTCTCTGGAAAACCCATTCCACCATTTGTTAATGTGGACAACAGTTTTTCCAACTTTTTTCTCGCATGAGATCGGAACCTCTCTGGTTTGAATCTATATTCACTGTCTGTCACCTTCCTGCCTTGCACCACTGTATTCTCAACAATATTTTCATATATGCTGGCAGGCTGCTGCTAGGTCCCCCTGAAGCCATCTCTTCTCCAGGCTAAACAACTCCATTTTTCTCAGCATGTCTTCATGGGGCTAGTGCTCCAGCCCCCAGCCAGCTCAATAGCCCTCTGCTGACCTTGCTTCAGTTTATCAACACCTTTTCCTGTATTGTGGAACCTAACACTGGATGAAGTACCCTAGGTGCAGTCCAACAAACTCCAAGTAAATGGGTGTCATGACTTCCTTCAGCCTACTGCATGTGGTCCAGTTTGAAGGCATGTCAGGATGCTGTTTGCCTCCTTTGGCTGCCAGGGCATGGTGCTGACTCTCTTTAAGCTTGCTCTCTCCACCAAGATCCCCAGACTGTTTTCAGCAGAGGTGCTCCTTAGGCAGGCAATCCCCAGTCTGTCATATTGTAAGCAGCTAAAAAAAAATTGATTAATCCCAATAAGCCTAAGGAAATGGTTTTAGAAGCTAAGAGCAAAGACTGTTGTTGGATCAAGAATGACATGATGTACTTTAAAAGTCTTTGGTTTTTTATGAAACGTATGTAGACATCCATTTATCTGAATCTTTGCCTGCTGTTATCTTTTAATCAAACATATAGTTTATATGAAAGGTACGGTTATGTGAAAGATATATACATATATATGAGATACAGTCAGATAAGAATTTAAATTGGTAGTTGATATGTAATGGTTTTTTCTCTTGTTAATGAATTCAGGTGTTTAGAAAAGGGATTTTAATTTTGTAACAGTGTCAGGGGTTTTGAATGAATGCAGTGATGTGTGTCATATGTAGCATATGGACAGTAGGTCTGACCAAGCATTTTCACTTCAACCGAAGGAGACCGGGTAAATGTTTACTAGCATTTATGGACTAATTTAAAATTTTGAGAAGCAGCTGTTAAACTGAGTCTTAATGCATGGCAGAACTGTTTTTACCCTTTAGAATTTTGTTAATAGAAAACTTACCCTTCAGAAATTTAATATACATGAGTGCATTCATTTTGTTCTTTTACTATATTCAAGATGAGATCTGAGATCAGAGACCCCCCTGAAGAAAACAAAGCATAAAAATATTTAAAGGATTTATAATATTGCAGTAGTATCAGATGTGGTATTAACAGACTTCTAATGCCTGGTATGAAATTTGTTATTTAGGGATGAAGACATGCAAAGCCTGGCTAGTTTGATGAGTATGAAACAAGCTGATATTGGAAATCTAGATGATTTTGAGGAAGACAATGAAGAAGATGAAGAAAACAGAGTGAATCAAGAGGAAAAGGCTGCAAAAATTACAGGTTGGTTTTGCCACAGGGATGGTAAAATGTAAAAAATTGCCTTGCTAATTGCCAGCTGTCTTCCATGGATTTTATCCTCATGCTATATTTGTGTTTAATTTTAAAAAATCCAAACCAAACGAAAATGTAGGGTAGTTTGATTGAAGAGGGCCTCATCCATAACTCAAAGTTTAATATTTGTGAATTTAAGAACATTGATTTGTGTGTGAAGAGCATTGATTTCTGTGTGAGCATGTCTTGTTTTTAGGGGAGAATACACTGAGTAGGTATCATTTTAGGGAAGCAAAGAACCAGTGTGAACATAGGAGTAAAAAGATGGAGGGGAAGAGTCAGTGAGTGAGAAGGCAAGAGGATGAGGTGAAGTGAAATAATGAAAACAGTTTGTGGGAATAACTGCGAAACGAGTTGTGCCGTGGGTAGGTACTGAGGTTCTGCTCAATAACATGGTAATTCCAGGCAGCGTACTTCTGCCTTTTAGTTGGGAGTGTCTTGTGGAAATGAAATCAGGAGACTGTTAAAGGAGTTTAACAGAATTTGATAGTAAGGTTGTTTGAAGTGAGATAGTATAACTACATTTGAATTGCTTACTGATGAAAATGCTTAGTGTGTCCAGGATAGCTGAACTAATCGATGCAAGTCAGCTCAGGATGTGATGATGTTAAATTGTTAGTGGAGATCATTATGTAGTACTGCTCTGGATGAGTTCTGTAGGAACTGTTAGTGTAAAAGAATCAGGAAAAGACAAATGAACGTCTGGTACCAGCCTTCGTGTCTGCCAGAGCTCTTTAAAAATGTCTGCTGAAATAATGGGACCTTTCTCTAAGGTGGGGAAGAGCATCCCAAGCAAATAAGTGGATTGTCAAATCTGTTCTTGAAAATCCCAAGGAGCGTTGGTTCAGTGTTATGAAATATTAGTTACATCTCTTCTTTTTGAGCTTTCATTGCAATGGAAAGGTTCAGCCTGAAGCAGTTATTACTTAGTTATATTTAGTGTTGTGAAAGGATGCAAATATTTTTTCTTCATGCTTTACCTATTTAATTAAACATTTTGTACCCTGACCAAATCTCTACTTATGCTGTGTGTGTTTGGCACAGACAAGATTGGAAAGCCCAGAATTAAGTATTTGAGAGACAGAGGTAATGTATTCTTGGTCAGGAAGCAGAGATATTCCAGTCTGGTCACACTGAAATCGTTCTGCAAGGTCTTCCTCTCCTTTCCCAGTGTAACCAAAATAATTCAGGTGCATGTCAGAACACCAAACCAAACCTGACATATTTGTCAGGCCATCTAATAGTCACAGAGAAGAGAAGGGCATGCAAAGCAGAGGCTACATAAAGTCTATATGAACTATTATGCAGAAGTGTTTTATTAAGATATGCCTAGATAAAGCCCTGAGGAAATTTTCCCCATGGGAAAACCCATGTGCAGAAGGACAGATGTTGAAAAGCAGCAGATCTTACTTCTCAACTTTCTTGATTTTGCAGTGCTAAGCATCTAAACAAGTCAATAAATGATTCCTGAACAAGCAAAAAAACTGGTGTAGGTTAGTGTAGTCTGTCCACTGTCCTTCGGCTATGTAGCGAGCATCCCTGGAGGTACGTGGGGAAGGGTGAGCTGTCTGAGGTGCAACACGAGGTCTTGGCTCAAGTTCTTTTAGAGGCATTTCAGCTTTTCCACCTGTTGTTGTAAAGGCAAAAATTATCTGTTATAAGTGAACATTACAATACCTACTTGAAAGGCAGAAGCAGTAAATACTTCTGAACCACCCTATATCTGTTCATTGTTCAGCCTGTTCTGATACTGTTTTCTGATGTTACAAGATGGGAGAGTTGGATTGCGTTTTTTGTAGATGCATCATTAAGGGAACCTGAGAAGGGCAAAGTCAGCCTTGGACTTTTTCTTCTTATGTTGGCTACAACAGCTGAATTACTTTGTTAGCCTGGTTGACTTTTCCCACCTTAGACAAGGAGAGGGATGAAAGGGATGTTGAAGGAGAATGAGTGCACATAATTTCCCAAGCAAGTGGGAGAACATAAAACATAGGGTAGGAAGTGAACGTGAATAAATAAAATGTAAATGATCTATTTTAACATGCATTCAAGACTGATTTCATTAGCAGTTGGAGTGACTCCTCTAATAAATATGATAAAAGGGAAAAACTAATAAACACAAAGAGAAGAGCTGAGGAGCCAAGGGAGAAAGAGCTAGGAATCATGTTAGAAAATTAGGAAGAAATAGATAAAGAAGGAAGTGGAACAAAACTGATCTAGTGAAGTACACTTTCTAAAAATTCTTTCAAAAATAATTGTGTTCACAGAATCCCATAAAGTTAATTGAGGAAGTTACATAACCCTTTTGAAAGCTTGCTGCTCCCAACATTTTCTCATCTGTTGCTGTATAGGGTGTTGGCAGCCGAGTGAGCTGGTATGCCTTCACTGACTCAGTCCCCTGCGGCAAATCATTTCGCCTTGGTACGCCCGTTTTCCCAACTGTAAAATGGAGATACTGGCTATAACTACTTCATGGGAATGATGGGAATATTACATTGTAAATGTTTGTAAGCAAGCTTAGAAAAACTAAAGTGCAAGTAGTAAAGCAGAAGGGATTATTTTCTTACTTTCAACTGAAGGTCTTCTCACAGAAACGCTGGGTGACTTGGTGACTGAAATGTTGTCATTCTCAAGCCACAGCTACAGAGATGTTGCAAATCTGTATCACAGAAACTATTCCATTTGCAGTGTAGAAAAGTTAATTTTTTTTATTGGGCCCAAAGTTACAGTTTTACAGATGAAAACTTCCCACTAGAGGCTTTGAGCAACCTGGTCTACTGGGAGGTGTCCCTGTCCATAGCAGGGGGGTTGGAACTAAATGATCTTTAAGGTCGCTTCCAACCCAAACCATTCTATGATTCTATAAACAAATATATCCGTCACTAGGAGAACAGGAGAGACCTGCTGTATAGAGCTCTAGATGGTGCAGGTGAATTAGGAAATGCTGCTTCTGTTCCTTGATGTGTTGCCTAACTTTGGGTATCTGTGCCTCTGTTTCTTCAGCTAAGAAATAAGTGACTCAGTACTGACCTACCTCAAAAGCACTGTGGAATTTGATGTGGTCAGGATTTGAACTGTTGCCATACAAGTGACCTGACAAGACTGAAAGATGTTTTCAATTCAAAGCACTACCTTAATTAAAAATAAAATCTTCCTCTATTTCCTTTTCCCCTTCCTCCCCAATATTTCTTGTTTAAATTTTTCATGTGTAAAAGCTGTATGTTCACCTACTTGTTCTGGTTTATGTGAACTTGAAAATAATGTTTGTAGCCATGAAATATGTTTCAAGTATTTTGCTTCTATACTACTAATATAGATGAATTTAAACCTCCCAGAATTATCCTGTCCTTAGTCTTCAGTTGAAGACAAGGCATCCTAGCGTACTTGAAGAAATGTGGCTCATAACTCACAAACTTAAGATAGAAATGAATACGTTGCTTCTCTTAATGTTTTAATTGGTACCTAGAGCCTCATGCTGACATTGATAGTTGCCTCCTGCTCCATGTGCACAGGAGCACGGTGACTGTTCTGGAGCACCACGTGGACTCAGCAGTGTGCCCATGTGCTACGTATTGCAGGAGTCTGCATCTCAGTATTTTTCAAGAGCAGGCTTTTGGAGAGCAAGATATGTAACCCTTTTTTGCCATTTGCAAAACTGTATCTCCTGTGTAAACTTCTAATACCTTTAACCTTCTTTGTCAGTAGCACCAAGATGCTTAAAAAAAAAAAAGAGAGAAGAATGGAAAAAACCACCAGTGATGGATATGACATACTTGTAGAACAGGATAATATACGTTTGTAGATAATGAGATTTATAAAAGATAATATAGGACATAAATCTCCAACCTACCATTTCCACACTCCAAAATATGACATGAACCATTTAATACTGTAATGAGAAACATTGTAGTGCATATCGGTGTTTAGGTTGGCAGATGGGACCAGGTGATTCAGACCACATCAAAGAATACTCTCTTTTTAAAGATCTGAACTTAATTTGTTATTTTCTGACAATAAAAACTGAATTATAATTGTCTAGGTTTTTTTCACATGCTGGCATAATAAATTATAAATCATGTCAACGTCTCAGCCTGTTTTAAACTAGTAATTTGTTTGTATTAGTGTTTTATAAGGTCAACTCTGTTTCATTTGAGTACAGAAAGGTATTTCCCACTGTGTATTTTGAATCTTGAAAGTTTCCATAAGATAGTATTATATCAGATCTCTAGAGCGTATATATGATTTTATACTGAGAAAGTTAAGAGTTCTGGTGTTATTTTTTAGGACAATAGTCTTGTTTGTCGAAGCTAAAAATAAGGTAGTGAGGAAGGTGAAATTAACTCTGTGTAGACAGATGTAATCCCACCAATGCAGGTTTTTGCTTTTAGGTTAAGAACAGTAAAGATGTGCGGTTAAGAGGAATAAGGCTGTGGCTTTGTCATTGCCAGCATAGATTATGTGCAGTAGATATTGGCAGAATAGATAATTTCACTTGGTAATTTGCATATTGGCATATTTCTGCCAAGCAGTTTATATTTGGAAAATATTTTTTTTAATCATATGACTGAAATATTTTCAGGTTCTGGATTCTGCTTTTAGCTTCAGGTTCTTTCTGCTGCCTGCAAAGGCATGAAGTTAAAAGTTGTGTCAGTGTGTCAACTGGTGAAGGTGTTACCCTGTGAGTCCCCCCTACTAGGAAGCTCTGGGTGGCTGTGGACACCAACATGAGTTGGGACAGTCATGATATTACTCAATTTTCACCTTACTCTGGTATGTTGCTCCTTGTAACTAGTTCATAGAATGAAGATTACAAGTGAGTCAGTGACAAACATTTGCTTTCCCAAACAAAAGCCAGATGAGAAAAGGTCAAGTATAGAACAGCAGTGAACTAAAAGCATTACAAAGAAGTAACTTCCTGTGTGCACAAGAAACTGAAGTTTAAAGGAAATCTAAGAATGATTGGCATGAGAAATGTGCAGTAAAGGCATCTATGTAGCTCTAACTTCACTGGTGTCACCAGAAGACATCATCTATTTCATTGGGAAAAGGCAGGAGATGAAAAAAACCTGTCAGAGGGGCAATGATATTCAACAAGCAGGATCATCTTTCCTGTGCAGGATTCTCCTGCCTTTTTGTCAGCTGGAAGGACAAGGAAATCTGTCCCCTCTCCACAGAAACCCCTACCTAACGTCTTTCAGAGATGCCCCAGGCTCAATCCCCGTTACTACAGAAACTGCATTTGTCACATGCTGTGGATAGGACTGCTTTAAGGGGCAAGCTGAGGAATTTTTCCTCTTGGGGCAGAAGCCACTAAGACAGAGTTGGTTTTTGTTTGTTTCTTTCTTCCAGAATTATGGCAACATTAATAACTTGATTAGAATTAAACATTAAGATTAATACATTAAACAAACTATTAGTTCATGGCAATTCACAGCTCTCCACTATAGATGGAAGGTGAAATAGGATTTTACTAAACAGTGAAGTGTTACTTGCATAGCATTACAGTGGCAAATTCAACCAGTATGTGCATTCACTGTGTATTCACATAGCACAGCACTGATCATGACTTTTAGAACTATTAGATAACTTCAGCTTATCATAGGTCAGAATTTAATGGTGACTGATTGGAAATGTTAAATAATCAGATTATGTGTGTGTATAAATTTAAAAAAAAATGCATGTGTATGTAGTAGTTTTCTGTAGCCTTAAGGGTTTGGGAGGGAGGTAAATTGTTCTGAGGCTGTTTTGTGTTGATTGACAATGGTTCAAAATTCAGGTTTTCTTCATGAACAAGAAAAGTCTTTAAATTATATCTATTACATCTAAGTTTTGAACTGTCGTGAATACTTATCCTCATAAAAGTAATTGCTGTTGCTGACACCAGGAATCTGATGAGATTTTGTTTATGTCTGTTAACTGTGTTTCTTGTTAAATTATCACTGAAGCACCTACACAAGTGCTTTGCTGCAGGTATATCATTGGAAGGGCTTGTCCTAAATGTATTCTTTTAATTAACTCTAAATGTCTTCTCTTTTATCCTCTCTCTCCCTCACTCACACTCTT